ATTAAAATTAATCAGACCCAAACTAATCTCAAGTTTTATTGAGTTTTACATGTTTTATGGTGCAAAAATTTATTTTCTTAAATATTTCTCATCGATATTGAATATATTTATAGTGCAAAACTTTATTTTCTTATGTGTATTTTATCGATGTGGGATGCATTGATTAGATAACATTGACAATTTTTAGTGACGAAATACATTTTTAGTGATGAATTATTTGGTCATCATTGAATGTATAAGGTATATATGACCAATATTAAAATTCTATCATAATTGTAATGCATTATAGTGACGATTTTTATCGATAAAAATTTATTTTATCTTTATGAACATTTTTTTGATGACAAAATATATTTTTTATGATGAATTTTTTTCTTCATCATTAAATATGTATACATATATGATTAATTTTTTAGATCTGTCACAATTGTGATAAGCTATAGTAATGATTTCAAAATTCATCACAAATTTTTGTCATTAAAAATCATTTTTCTTGTAGTGAAAGTTTGTTTTCTTTTTAAATAATCTATAAATTTTTAAAAATATTTCAAAATAGTTTATTGTATAAAACTTCTATTAGTTTTAGCGAAAAAAATTAAATCAAAATTAAAATAGAGTAGTCCTAACCATCAAAGCGGTTCATGACAAACTGTGCAAACTATTAAAATACGTCAATAATTGTGGTTTTTATTACAAAGAAAAATTACTAAAAGGAAAAATTTAAGCAACATATGATAAATGTTACAATTTCTTAGATAGTGAAAAAAACTTATTATCTTGATAAAATTAGTTTTATCTCATAATTAATTTTAAGAAACAAAAATTCAAAAAAATATAATTGAAAATCAATTTGATCAAATAAAGTATAAAAAATTAACAGATTAGACTAAACTAAAATAAAAGTAAAGATAATAAATAAATTTAAAATATTTAAAAATAATAAATAAAATATAAAAATTACTAAATTATTTATTAAATTAAACCTAACAAGGCCGTGTGTAAAGCTGTGGTGTTCTTAAAGAGGCATTCTGA